AGTTTGTAATCTAGATGATCTGGATTCAGTGAACCGTTGGATTTTTATTTATAGGCAGTTTAGTCCAGCTGGTGAGGAGATGAAAGTTTATTTAATCTTTAAAGTGCATGCTGATGTTTTCTGCACTACAGTTTAGCTCCATGCACCTTACTGGCTTCCCGGCCTCTTTCTGTGGATCTATAATACATCCTCAGGATTCATCTACAAGATGTAATAGAGCATAGAGGACAGTGCTTCTCTTTTGAGCGATTCTATTAGTTCTTGAAGTCTTTTGGCTTGTAAATATTTTCCTTGTTCTTCAGAGATGATTGTAGACTGTCAGTGTTGTCTTTTATACTGTTATGTTGTTATGGAGATGGTGGGCTAGTGAACGAGACGCGGTGATTGATATGGGATCAGTGTGTCTTTTTGTTGGGTGTGGAGGAGAAAAACTGAGTCAGTGCGTTTTTGTCTGTAGATAAATGCTCACGACAAGGACATACGTGGACCGAGTCTGAGAGAAGATCGGAGAGATGTTTTGAGAAATCGATAGTCGCATTCATTGTTTTGTCCTGATAAAATAAGAAAGAAGATTACAAACTATATCACTTAAGTTTTTCTTTTTCAGAAATAAACTTCAGCCCATAATCCTTTCAACCTTTCGGTGTCATCTAACAAAAAATAAACCTAAATTCAGGTGCTGTTCGTCAGTTGTACTACAAGTTTCTTCATTCTGGTAGCAGAATATTATAATGCCATGGTTTCATACCTGCACTATTTGGAGGGAAGAATGTTTCCTAGTGTTTAAACACAAAGCTTAAAATCCCACCGAAGATGAAAGTCCTGGACCTACAGAAAACACGGTCGTCTAAAACCATACTAAGAGTTCAAACTAATTCTTTCTTTTAGAGTTTGGTTGGGAAGAGAGATGGTGGTGATCTCCACTCTCTCACACACACACACACACACACACACACACACACACACACACACACAAATAATGCGGGGAAACTGTATAGTGGTCTGCTGAGGGGGAAACGGTTTCCTTTGTCTGCTCACATGCATACCTGTGTCCTGACATCAGTGATGGAGAGACGCCACTGGTCCAGCCCACATTCATTCAACCCCAGGCCAGTTTGATTGGTTAATTATTCACGCCACAAACTCGATGAAAAAGTGAAGCCAGTCGAGAGCGACACACTCCTCAATCACTTCTCATGTCAGATTTTTATGCTGCTTGTCAGAGTGGTGAGACTGGTTGCTAGAACTAGTGTCTTTTAGTGTTGTCAGAAATATGATTTTTCAATACATAATGATACTGAAATGTTTGAGACCATTTCAGTACTCATTTTCCACACTATTGATATGCCATCTGTGCTCTCATAGTCTCTCTTCTTTCTGACAGCAAGTTGACACACACACACACACACACACACCGTTGTGTATGTATTGTAATTATATATATTGTATTGTAAGTATATAGTCCGTTGTACTGCGTGTTTTTAGAGTGAAGCGTGTCATTGGATTCTTGTGATCCAGTGTTTTCAGCTGCTCAGAGTGGCTCGGTTCACACAAAATAAAAGTATCTCTATGAGACTTATTTAACACTGGTTACTATGGCAGCAGGTTTACAGTTATTTAGTATGAATTTTTATAAAACTTTTAAAAAGTTTTAACAATGTTGTTGTGTGTTTTTGTCACTTTTATTAGGCTTTTGAGTGTGTATGTGTGTCCATATAGCTTTTATTAAATATTATTTCAGTTTTTGTTATTTTAGTACTTCAATGTAAACACACACACACACAAAAGGCAACTATATGAAAAAAATGTTTCAAGGTTGTTTGATGTTTTTATATTTTATGTTTTCTTAGTTTTTAGGTTTAGTTAATTATAGTAACAATGATAGAAACTTGAGCTTCCCTGCAATTTTCCACCATCAGGGTTTTGAGAGATGAACTCTTTCAACTGAAGAAATTAAGTCATATTTATTGTAATTTTTACTACTCTAAAGTAAAATAATATAGTTATTAAATATTCATTTTTTACAGTGCAGTTATATTGCAATAGTAGTATATTTTTGTTTAATAATAATAATAATAATAATAATGTGATTATTATTATCATTACTATTATTATAGTTTGAATTATATACTGTTCAAATTTTACCCCATGATATTGAATATCAATATTTTTTAAGGTATTGTATCAAAGTTAGAAATTCCAGTTTCTTGACATCACTTGGCTTTAACTGTCCATCCAGAGCGCTCTGTATTGTCTGGGCCAATCAGACACACTATTTTATTTTAGTTATATTTAACAAATACTCTGTAACATGCCTCAGTTAACAAGCCATATGAGGGTCTATGGACCCTTCCACTGAAATGCATCTAACCCCTCAGAAAGGCAGAACAGGCCTCTGGACCCATGGCAACCAATGCTGATATCACTGGTTTTATTGCCCAAAGGAATGCGGGCAGAGAAACTCACAATTAATTTACCCTTAGGAAAAAGACACAATGCCCATAAAAATGGACTCTTCTCTAATTAATTCATAGAAAAACCTTTCTGTGAATGAACACGCATCTCCTCAGGACAGTGTGTATACCATTACTGTTCTTGTATATTTGTCTTTTGAATTGTATTTTGTTTTGTGTGTGTGTTATGATAGATCACTAGTTAATATAGCCCCACCGATACCATGTTTGGTCTCTTTGAATTTGTCTTCTGATGATCTAAATGAGCATTTATATTATATGTAAGTACATAAGCAATATATTAGTGTTCTAAGAATCTTGAGTAATTTTGATTCGAGTTCCATATGCAAATTACCATGCTCTCACACAAAAGGTCATAAAACGCCCCAGTATTTCCAACCTCCCGCTTGGAATTTCAGCCTTTCTCATTGGACAAGCCCAACCTGAGAGGCGTGAATCTTCTCAGACCTTAAAAGACTCGCACACAGTTCCGCCCATGTTCGTTCTTGTTGTTCTTCTGCTAAGAAGCGTGTTGGAGCCTGAGCCGGTGCGGGCGTGCCCGGTGAGCTCCAACACATAGCCACTTAGCCAGTCAGTCTGCGGTTCGGTTAGATTCTGAGAAGGTGAGGATGTGAGCTAGAACGCTTCTAAGGACACCCTAAGTCTGTGCCAGGCCTCGTGCCTAGTCTTTCCATTCATCAAGATCCTCTGTCTCAAAATGGTTCTTTCTCATCACCTAACTTCAGCCAACCTACTGGAGCCCCAAAGAGCATCAGGACTCTTTTTCAAACAGGCGAGATGTGCAAGTATCAAACGTAGTCTTATTAATTAATACATTAAGTATCATTTGCACCTTTTTCAAAGGTGTGTTTGAACTAAAAAACTGATGTTTCCTTCAGGCTGTAGATCTGCTGAATATCAATTGGTACCATAGCTTCGTGTTTTTATTTCTCTTCTCTTTACTGCTTAAGCTTTAACCCTTTTTCCTATGCCAACTGTATGCGTGTGTGTGTGTGTGTGTGTGTGTATGTTAGACTAGTTTAAGTGT